AAAGAGGAGGTGGTAGGAATGAAGTGAACATTATGAGGATAAAGAGGATAGATAACAACTGACCCTTGACTTGAAGTGCTCATGTCTATTTGATACGTTCTGGACCCTAATCATGATTATGAGACACTCGAAGGAACTCGTAAATCTGTTGATACGCTCATATCTAAAACTATTAATAATTTATCGGTACACGTATGTACTGTTAGAAAAAGTGGAAAGACAGTGTTGCGCCAGCAATTAATAGCTGTCATCGCTCAAAAAGTGGGTGATACAGTGAGCAAATGCACTTATTTCATTAAAGAAATATTCAAAGCTAGTAGTTATTACTGATTTTTCAAGTTTTTTAATCTTAAATTTTCTACAATAGAAGGTTCGAGAGACATTCAAGTAGAGGCTCAGCGATAAAATGAAAAAAGGTGCATGATATAAATGAAAGAGAAAATGGTACGTAGTGAAGATTAGAAGGATAACGAGGATAGATAGAAATTGACTCTTGAAGGGGTTAAAATTATAGTGTCCAGGTAAGCATTCATGAGGGAGCCTGTCCCACAACATAACAGTTTTGCGGAAAAATGACAGTAGCCCTTCCTCCTTACAATTGGAATATGAAGGAACTGTGTGTAATTCGACTCTGTAGAAGTAACATGGTGAGGCCTAGCTGTAAAGATTGTATCCGATGGAACTAAAGAATGGAGCCCTCATCTGAACATTAAACATTGAACATATGACATAAAATTAAAATAAAAGATTGGAAGGAAGTTAGAATTTTACGAAATTTGATTCGTTTCTAATGAAAATCTAATAATTTCTGAATAATAATGGAATCAAATTCTACATACTTCATCACATTGGTCTGTAAAAATCGCATCTCTTCCTCTGAGTGGATACTGACCAATTCCGAACCGGCATAACGACAGTTTTCTCTAGCTTTCGACCATGTCAATCCATGTAAATATTTGGAAAATTCCTGAAAAGAGGAAGACATAAAAATTGTATTCGATTCATTTTACAAAAAAATTAGTTTTAACAAATGTAAATTTACGGAAAAAATTTCTTTCCATTAGAATAAATTCGTCCCTAGGTATCTGTCTCTATTTTTGAGATGTAGTATTATGTACACTATTTACATTATTCGGACTATTATCCTCATCTTTGTTGCCATATTTATTACGTTTCGGCCGTTGTACGCTCCGGCCTCCTTCAGGTGGTTGGAATGTTGAACTGAACCATTTATTTCGCTCGCTGGGGTAGACTGCTCTAGTTCCACGTGCCATGTTTAATGGATGTCAGTTATCAGTTATCTCCTGTTTATTTCCCTCTGAAAGTTCTCCACTGCCTTAACCGGGTATTGTACTCAAACTCTTTGGGTCCTGTCACTGGATCTAACTAATGACTTAATATTTTTATTAAGTAAAAACTATATTTACTAATCATGAATTGAAAAGCTTACTATAATTTAGCGGCCATCAGTATTTTAAAAAGAATTTTTAATTTTTTGTGTGTGCAGATTTTTGTAAATACGGATGTCCATACACAACATTATCAAAAAATTAGAGCGGTAACTACAGTAGTTTTAAAGCCAAAGTACCTAAAATTCAATAAAGCATTAGATTACTTGGAATATTTTCTTAAAATTTAAATATTACTGGGTAGTTAAACAATTATATAAAAAGGCACTCACTTTATAGTCGTCAATTAATTTTTACAGATATATCCACCGTATAAAAAATAATTTCTGGTTGTCAATTTGTCAATAGAACTGTCAACACCTAATAAAACACATACCTCTGTGTTAAAAAAATTCTGCGATATTTTAAACTAAAAGTAAGTAATATCTGTTTCAAATCGGATTAATTAAACTTTAAATCAGCTAATATTCTTCAAATAAAGTTTCAGAAACATATATTTTATTTTTGAAAGATTTTTAGGAAAGAGAATTACGCTGTGCTTAGCAAACTGTAAATATTGCTATAGTCAGCCATTTTTAAAAATTAAAAAATCACTCCAATTAATTTACATTCGTTTTGAAATACAGAAATACGTCTTCTGTGGTGAATGAAATTTTATTTAATGTGGACAGTTTATTGTATAATTTTGTATTATTTTGTCACCGTATACTATTGTATTACTTTTTGTATCGCTTAATGTTTATATTAGGTATAAGGACAAGTTCTTGGAGAATTAAAAATTTTTTGTAAAACTACCTCCCCCCCAGTTAGAGAAAATTTGTTATAAATCGTAAGATAAAAAATGAAATAAAACAGGACATTGTTAAATTAGAAAAGCTTTTAATTGCTTTTATATATAAAATATATTATGGAGACTATTGTGTTAAGAATAAAAAATTTCGATGAATAATAATTTCTTGCAAATTTCTTTTCTAATTTAAAAGATATTTATTTAGAATAATTTATAGACTCTGAAATCTTTAAAAAATCTGTATTAATTTGTAGCGGTTAGATGATGTTATTAGATTAAAAATATTTACTAATCATAAATGGAAAATGTCACTAGAATTCAACGAGCCCAGTATTTTAAAAAGAATTTTGAATTTTTTTTAATGCGTGTATAAACGTGTTGATTTTTGTAAATATTTTTGTAAATATGGATGTCTAAGCACAATGTTATCAGAAAACTCTTGTTTCATTCAAGAATACCAGCATGTAGATAAAAATATGCATTTATTAGGTCATCGCCCAATTTTGATAAAGATGCACTTATTAGTCATATTATTATTATTATTAGTCACTTATTTGCTCATCGCCCAATTTTGCTAAAGGGAGGAAAAAATAAAAATTATAGAAGAAATATATTTGAAAATATTTTTTTAGCGGTTTATTGATGCACTTATTAGGCACAGACACCACATTACATCTTGAAAATAACTTAGTTGGAAATACTTGAACATAATAATAATAAAATATGAACTCCGGACAGCAGTTTGTCCACAACTGCAAGCACCATAATCAATATCTTATCCGAAAATTGGAAAATGCAATAAAAAATGAAATAGACCTCCTTGTCGGTTCTTTGTGATTAATATTGTTTGGATGAATACTTCCTGCCTCAATATACCTTATATATATATATATATATATATATATATATATATATATATATATATATATATTAAAAAAGAAGAGGGGTGCCGCAAACGTTTTTTGGTTGTAATGTGGATTTATTGAGAAAAATATTATACTTTGTTTTACATAATTTCACTTCTTCCATGATTTTCTTTTCAGTTCGCGGCATTCTTTCGTTGTAGTTATATAAAGGAAATATGTTGTAGTGGTTCCAACGAGAGAAAAGTATGTATATTAAAAAGAAGAGGGTGCCGCAAACGTTTTTGGTTGTAATGTGGATTTATTGAGAAAAATATTATACTTTGTTTTACATAATTTCACTTCTTCCATGATTTTCTTTTCAGTTCGCGGCATTCTTTCGTTGTAGTTATATAAAGGAAATATGTTGTAGTGGTTCCAACGAGAGAAAAAGTATGTATATTAAAAAGAAGAGGGTGCCGCAAACGTTTTTTTGGTTGTAATGTGGATTTATTGAGAAAAAATATTATACTTTGTTTTACATAATTTCACTTCTTCCATGATTTTCTTTTCAGTTCGCGGCATTCTTTCGTTGTAGTTATATAAAGGAAATATGTTGTAGTGGTTCCAACGAGAGAAAAGTATGTATATTAAAAAGAAGAGGGGTGCCGCAAACGTTTTTGGTTGTAATGTGGATTTATTGAGAAAAAATATTATACTTTGTTTTACATAATTTCACTTCTTCCATGATTTTCTTTTCAGTTCGCGGCATTCTTTCGTTGTAGTTATATAAAGGAAATATGTTGTAGTGGTTCCAACGAGAGAAAAGTATGTATATTAAAAAGAAGAGGGGTGCCGCAAACGTTTTTGGTTGTAATGTGGATTTATTGAGAAAAAATATTATACTTTGTTTTACATAATTTCACGACAAGTGTTTCTGGTCTGGTCTCGCAACCGTCTTCAGGTGAAAGTGGAGATTTTTACATATTATTAAAAATAATTAATTTTTCTTCATGTTCAATGTGGAATATTCTCGATATGAGACATTCTGTTTGTGTGTTGGCAATCCGAATTTTCTTTCTAGAATTGTCAATGAAGAGTTCTGCGTGAAGGGTCATAAAACAATTAAGGTTTGTCCAGCGAGTAGTTATCGGCATTTAATCTTTTAATGTTTTAGTGACCTCTATGTGCTCTTGGATCTGTTTCTATTTTGGCGTGTTCCTGTCAGCATGCGTGTATATATGCGTGCGTATATATATATATATATATAACTGTGGACATAAAGAGCCAGGCAAACATACCTAGGTTTCATCTACGCGGACCGTCAGGGTAGATTTGCTCTACTTAGTGTATCGAGCACTTTGTGTAGTTAATTTTGCTTTACTCGTGTTGGAGGTTTTTTTCTTTGGACTCTGAGCTTGGATTTTGGACGATTGTTTTCGCCTGAATTACATGTTCTAAGTTCTTTCTTTTTATTCCTTATTTTTCCTTGGTCATTGGTTTGTTTATTTACAAGCCAAAATTTTTCCAGACGAGTAGAATTATTTATATTTATAAGATTATATATATATATATATATATATATATATATGTATATATATATAATTTCAAACTTAGTTAGGGTATACAATAAAAAATCTGTTAATAATTAACAATTGTTGTCGGGAGTCTGACGAGCTAAACTTTAAGTAGGTCTTCGATAAGCGTCCTTAAGTAAAATTATTTCCCTGAGTACTTTGTTGACAAAATTATGAGAAACAAAACCATAAACAATAAAATAAATAAATAAATGAACAAAATAAAATAGACAGGAGCGTAAGTGGCGGAAGTGGATTACCTCCCTTCGATATATAATCACGTGACTTGGTTCAGGTGGCATTGGTATAAAACGTAGCGCGCTTAACAAAAAAAAAAAAAAGAAGGAAAATTCCTTTTGTCCTATTTTCTTGTTCTCTGGATAGTTACTGCTCGGCATGTAATTTATTTTGTCACAACCGTCAAAAGTAATTACGAACAATCATACACGCACCCGCACATAATACGCACCCGCACATAATACGCACTGACCGTTTCTAAAAATTGTAATTTTTATGAGATTATTGTTTTTATTTTAAACAAGAGAAATGTTTGTTTATTTGTTCGTCCTTGAAGTTTAAAAATTTGGTTGCCACTACACTCATCTCGACATAAGTAAAATGATATAATTTTATGTATAATAGGTGTTCTTCATATATATATATATATATATATATATATATATATATATACAAATGTAAAAAAACGAAGAGTAAGATTTCAGCGTTCAAACATTAATTTAAAACAGGGCTCAATACAAAAGCAGAGCAATAAATATTATATTTATTTATTTTACAGCATTACATTAGAACATGCACATACCCACTACAAAACTGTACATCTTGTTTCAACGTTAAAACTTTTTAACGTTTCATCAGGTGGGAAATCACGATGCTATTGTCATAAAACTTATATGATGGATATAAGTTTCTTTCTGACCTTAGAATGCGATTTTCCTTTTTAAATAAAGATTTTTCACCTTTTCCTTTAAAGGGCGCATTTTACGGTCTCTCTTTGGTATACTTAAATTGTCGGTGTTGTTATTCTTCTTTCTTGGAGGACATTATTAAGTAAAACTTGTGAATTGGTTATTTTTCGATTTGATCATGGGCAACGGAAAATGAAACCACGGACAAAAGGGACACTGTAATTCTCAGAGCAACTGCACAACAAATTCAATGATTTAAGCAAATGTGGAGATTAATTTTGGTAAACTTACTTTATAGCAATAGCCGTTAAAATGCTTCCATCCGTTGGGACATGGAATCAGAGGCAAATTGGTTGTCGTGGGCGGTAAGGTTTCAGTAAAAAGCTGAGTTGTCGTCAGTGGTGTTGTTTGTGGTATTTCTGAAGACAGTTTGGTAGTGGAAGATGGCAGTTTAGTCAAAGGTAGGCTACAAATAAAATATCCTTTCAGGCTGCAAGGAACTGCTTCCCACATTCCAATGAAATTTGCACCAAATGACAAACAGGTACCATCACCCAATTTTGCTGAACGGAGGGAAAAAAAAGTAAAAATTATAGAAGAAATATAATTTTTTAATATAGCGGTTTATTGATGCACTTATTAGGTCATCGCCCAATTTTGATAAAGATGCACTTATTAGTCATATTATTATTATTATTATTAGTCACTTATTAGGTCATCGCCCAGTTTTGCTAAAGGGAGGAAAAAATAAAAATTATAGAAGAAATATATTTTTTTAATATAGAGGTTTATTGATGCACTTATTAGGTCATCGCCCATTTTTGCTAAAGGGAGGAAAAAAAGTAAAAATTATAGAAGCAATATAATTTTTTAACATAGGGGTTATTTATGCAGTTATTACTTCATTGCTTAATTTTGCTAAAGATGAACATTAGTCATATTATTATTATTATTATTATTATTATTATTATTATTATTATTATTATTATTGTTATTAGTCACTTATTAGGTCATCGCCTAATTTTACTAAAGTGAGGAAAAAAGTAAAAATTATAGAAGTAATATAAGTTTTTAAAATAGTTTTATTGATGCAATTATTAGGTCATCGCCCAATTTTGCTTATTAGTTATATTATTATTATTATTATTATTATTATTATTATTATTATTATTATTAACATTATTAGTCACTTATTAGGCCATCGCCCAATTTTGCTAAAGGGAGGAAAAAATAAAAATTATAGAAGAAATATATTTTTTTAATATAGCGGTTTATTGATGCACATATTAGGTCATCGCCCTGTTTTGCTAAAGATGCACTTATTAGTCATATAATAATAATAATAATAATAATAATTATTATTATTAGTCTTATTAGGTCATCACCCAATTTTGCTAAACGGAGAAAAAAAAGTAAAAATTAATGAAGAAAGAAAATTTTTTAATATAGCGGTTTATTGATGCACTTATTAGGTCATCGCCCAATTTTGCTAAATATGCACTTATTAGTCATATAATAATAATAATAATTATAATAATAATAATAATTATTATTATTATTAGTCATATTATTATTATTATTATTATTATTAGTCACTTATTTGTTCATCGCCCAATTTTGCTAAAGGGAGGAAAAAAAGTAAAGATTATAGAAGCAATATAGTTTTTTAATATAGCAGTTCATTGATGCTTGACAAATGTTTTTCATGGAACGGCATTGAGGCTCACATTTAAAAAAAAACCCAAAAGAAGATCAAATTTGTAAACTGGTACAAAATACAGTTGACAGTTATATTACACCATAGGTATTTGTTTGAGGAATCCAAATATTAGAAACGGAATGCTACAGAACCATCTTAGACATCACAAAGAACGCAATGTAAAACGTCATCAGTGAAGAAACAAGTTCATTGGACAATCTCATATCCGCCATGAAGAAAAGAAAGTGGAAATGGTATGGTAAGGTCATAAATAGACAACAATATTTCCACTGCTATCCTTCAAGGTAGCGTCTTAGTCAAAAGAAGAAGAAACGACAGACTGATCGAAAAATTCGCAGACAATGTCAATGGATGGGCTGGAATAACATTCACAGCGATTTGAACATTGGCATGCAACTGAGACATGTGAAGGGAGATGGTCAGATATCCATCTACGCTGCAACCCTACAACCACATCCAGAATTACAGAGAAGAATTCAAACATTGGAAAAGAGATCCTACAGAACTATACTTGGCATTACCTATGTAGAGGGTATCACAAATGCCAGTGTGAAACGTCATCCGATAAAAGAAGGCTCATTATAAGACCTTATAATTACTGTAAAGAAGGGAAAGTGGAAATGGTATGGGCACGTCATAAGAGCCAATAATCTTTCCACTGCCATTCTATAAGCTACCACCTTAGGCAAAAGAAGAAGAAGTGAATGAAAAAATGGACTGGCAACGTCACTGCGTGGAATGAAAGATCATTCCCAGAGACTTAAATATTGACATGTAACCGAAACATACAGAAGGAGCTAAGCAGTTGCGCAGCGACCCTAAAGCCACAGTTGGTCATGGGAATGTTGATGATAATTGCCGAATTATCCTTCAGGCTAGTATAAGCTGCAGCCTAGGTTCACTCAAGCTTTTATAAGACAATGCTTCTTCTAACATTATAACTTCTAAATTGTTTCATAAACTGAGATGATATCAATATGACAAACTATTTTGATTGTTTTATTGTTATAATGCTGCTTATAATAAAATCTGTTGTTTTACTCCGGTTGTGTTGAAGTATCTGCTAATGTTTAGTTTGCAATATATAGTAAAATAGTGCTATTTCTTAAAGAATTTTCTTATTGACAAACAAAAAGATTGCTATTCTAGTTTACTTCAAGATATGTAAATGTTGCTAAAATATATTACAGGTAAAAAATATTTAAGACAGGTGCGGGCGAATTAGAGTGTGGCTCTATCTGAGGGGGGGCATAATCTCATAAGCCTAGGGGTTCCAAAAAGTCATAATCGGGCTATGATGATGTTGACAATGATGATGAGGGTGGTGGTGGTGATGATCATGAGGAGGAGGAGGGCCATTAGCATTGCTATTACATCATTTGTAACGTTCACTAGAATGGCTTTATTACAGGCAAAATTCCTAAAATTAGCAGAGACCCCGAAGCTAATGAGATTATGGCCCCACCACCCTTCAAATAGAGCCACCCTGTAACTCGCCCGCACCCATCTTGAATATTTTTTACTTGTGATATATTTTAGAGATATTTACACAGATTGAAGTAAACTTATTGAAAATTCTTTAAATAAACTTGAATAGTCATCTTTTGATTGTCAATAAAAATATTCTTTAAGAAATGCCACTATTTTATTATTTATTGCAAACCAAATTAAAACATATTTCAACCGTAGAGATTAAAAAAACGGATTTTTTATAATAAGCAATGTAGCAATGAAACAATCAGATTAAAAAGTTTGCCATATTGATATTATTTCAGTTTATGAAACTATTTAAAAGTTATAACATCTAGAAAATTAGAAATTTTTATAAAACAGTAATTTTAAGATTTAAACATTCTAAACTAAAATCAAACATGTCACCTACTTGAAACACAATGACACAAACTAAAACATTCTTTACCCTATCATAACAGAAGAGAAAAGGCTGTACCGCCAATCTGTAGTTTCATCCAGTTTCCAGGCTTTTTACTACAGGTTGTTTATCTCATATAGAACTCGTCAGCCTATCAGCGGGTCTGAAACAGATGCGAAATGCTCTCCTAATTACTCGTTTCTGAAACCAAGCTACAATAAACGATATGTAAACATGTTTGCAACATTCCATTATTTGTTTGTTTATGGCTCCGACCTCTTTAGCGTTGTATTAGAATCGTTGTCTGGTCTGGTCTGGTAAAAGAGATACATGCCGTGGTTAGAGAAAGTTTGCAAATTTCACGGGTTTCCAATTTAGAATTTCTGATGAATCTTAATTCTTAAGTTAATGTTTGAATAAGTTCCTGTTGAGTTCTACGACAATCAAATATCCGTAGAAATTCTCCTATCACATCGTTAAATATTTGAGCTTAACAACTTTAAGAAAATATTGCAATAACAATCATAAATATAAATTCTGATTGTTATTTTAAGAAGTGGGTACAAATGAAAAGACTTTGAAATTGACAACTTTTTCCATTTCACTGAAACAGCCATTAAACACTTCTATCTTTCCTTCTTTTCTTCATTTTCTCACTGAAACCAGGTAGCGTCTTTGATATATCATTTGTCTTCTCACGTAATCAAAAACGGAATAGTCCATTATTTATTATTAGCCGAAGACGTTAAACTCTCCTACCTTCCCTTCTTTCTTTCTTTCTTTCTTTCTTTTTGTCTTTCTTTCTTTCTTTCTTTCATGCATTTTCTCACTGAAACCAAGTAGTATCTTTTCCTCCTCTTTCCACGCGATCAAAACAGAATAGTCCATTATTTATGAGGTATTAGCCGAAGACGTTAAATTCTCCTACGTTCCCTTCTTTCTTTCTTTCTTTCTTTCTTTCTTTCATGCATTCATTTTCTCACTGAAGCCAAATAGCGCCTCTTGTACGTCTTTTTTTCCGAGCAATCAAAACGGAATAGTCCATTATTTATTAGGTATTGGTAGGAGACGTTAAAGCCTTCTATCTTCCCTTCTTTGTTTCATTCTCAGAAAAACAAAGGCTCATTAGAAGACCTCATAACTACTGTCAAGAAGGGAAAGTGGAAATGGCATGGGCACGTCATAAGAACCAACAATATTTCCACTGCCATCCTACAAGCTATCATCTTAGGCAAAAATAAAAGAGGGAGACAGATCGATGGAAACATGGCCTGACAATGTCAAGATCATTCACAGCGACTTGAACATTGTCATGCAACTGAGACATATGAAGGGAGATGGTCAGATGTTCATCTACGCTGCAACCCTACAACCACATCCATAATTACAGAGAAGAATTCAGGCATTGGAAAAGAGACCCTAAAGAACCATCCTAGACATCACCTATGTAGAGGGTATCACAAATACCACAGTGTGAAACGTCATCAGATAAAAAACAGACTCATTAGAAGACCTTGTAACTACTGTAAAGAAGGGAAAGTGGAAATGGCATGGGCACGTCATAAGAGCCAATAATCTTTCCACTGCCATCCTATAAGCTATCATCTTAGGCAAAAGAAGAAGTGGCAGATAGATGAAAAAATGGTCTGACAACGTCACTGAGTGGAATAAAAGATCCTTCTTAGAGACTCAGACATTGACACGTAATCTAAACATGGAAGGAGCTTGTCAGTTGCGCAGCGACCCTAAGACCACAGATGGTCATGGGAATGATGATGATGATGATGATGATGATGATTGTTTCCTTTGAATGAGAGAATTAAAAAGATTTTATAATAATATATAAAATTGTTGGAGAATAAAGTATCACTTTTCAAGAAGAAATAAAACCCCATTCAAATGTCCAAAAAAAAAACAAAACAAAAAAAACAAAAACAAAAAAAAAAAAAAAACAATATACAAAATTTATTTATCAGGAATATGTCCACGTTTATTGTCAACCAATAATGTAAATAATCTCTGTAAATGACATTATTTACACGCGGACTGTTGTCCTCACGTTTCAGTCGTTGTGACTTCCGGGCTTCATCAGGTGAATGAATGCCAATCCGAGTAACCTACAGAGAGTTTCGATATGAATCGTTTATTTAATTTATGGGGGGGATGGACTGTTCTCATTCCACTACCGATGTCCATTTCTTATTTTTAGTACTGCTTAGTTTCCACTGAGTACAAGTACACACTGCCCGACCAAAGGATTGAACTCACAATTATTATATCAGCAAATTTTTTAACCAAAGCTATGTTGGACAATTTGCTGTAATGAATTTGGACAGTGGAACGAGAACAATCCACCCCCATTCAGAATTCTCTGTAGGTTAATTAGATCAATATACACCTGATGAAGGCTGGATGACACAACGGCCGAAACCTATTGATAATAACAAAAAAGATGAGGACAATAGTTCAAATATAAATAGCGTAAACAATGATAAGAAAGATACAGAGACATTTCTACATGTTCAGCTAGTGGGATAAGGGAGAGAATGCGATGATATAAGCGAAGGGAGGGGGAGGAGAGAGAATGGAAAATAATTTTCAGTATCTGTCTATAATTCTGAGATGAGGATTATAGTTCGAGCAATGTCAATATTGTATATAATATACAATATTTACATTGCTCAGACTATCATCCTCATCTTTGCTGCTATATTTATCACAACGTTTCGGCCGTTGTACGCTCCGGTCTTCTTCAGGTGGTTGGAATGTCGAACTGAACCCTTTATTTCGCTCGCTGGGGTAGACTGTTCTAGTTCCACGTGCCATGTCTAATGGATGTCAGTTATCTTGAGAACACATGGCACAGTGGATAAAGGTGTTAGTCAAATCCAGTGACAGGACCCAAAGAGTGTGAGTTCAAAACCTGGTTAAGGCGGTGGAGAACTTGGATAGGGGAATTAACAGGAGATTCCGTAAGATAGAGCATAAAATTGGCATCATAAGTAGTTGAACCAAGCCAGTATCCTCAAACGATCAATGAATTTTTTTTCACCATTTCAATTCAAGAAAGGAAACAAAGCCACTAAGACGCAAGGGGGTTACTGAGTGTGAAAGAATAAAAAACAAACTATAACACCATCAAGGAGAGAAATAGAGATCAATAAAAGAACAGGAATTAAGACGATAAAATATAACAATTAACTTTGTATTTAAAATTTTGGAGATCAAAGTTGACTTGAAAGCAAGAGGCCGTAAGTGTGTTCCACAAGCAAGAAGTGCGAGAGAAGAAACTATTAACATAGAACTTACAGTTACATTAAAAACAAAGAACAAAGCAACTATTAGCAAGTATGCGTTCATCTTCTGACCCCTCAGGCTTCAGATGCTAGGATATGTTTTTTAATCATTTCACCTCAAGCAAGGTAATAAAGCCACTAAGACGAAAGCGGTTACTGAGTGTGAGAGAATATGAAAAAAAGAAAAATATTATGAAGGAGAGATAACAATTAAAGAACAAGAATTAAGAAAACAGAAGATTGACGCTGCATTTAAATTTTTGAAGATTAATGTTGACTGGAAAGCAAAAAGCCGACAGAAAGTTGCCCAAAGCGACATGCGGGAGAAGGAACTGTAAGCATAGAACTTACGGTTACATCTAGTTATTTTAATTGTAAAATCAAGAGACTTTGCCGCTAATTTAGTACTGCGCTTACATTCATAATGCATAGTTATAACCCTAACCCAGCTTTCCAACTATTTCATTTACTCATGTCTAACAAGGATACCATACTTTTGGTATGGATTTCAGCTGCTGCATGCTGGGATCGCCTCTCGAGACTATTATTATCAAGTCTTGTCTTTGGCAAATCTATCATGGTGGAATTCAACGGGTTGCCCACGCGTATTATGCATACTACTCTACTTTGTTATTCATATGAACAATTAATTTTGTTCGGAGAAGGCAACTCTGCAATGTGAATTGATTAACAAGCATCCCTTGTTTACCATGAGCCAATTCAAATTCAACTTTTGCCAGGTGTTCTAGCACCAAAACTACGTTAAACTTAGAAAAATAATATATATATTTCTGAGATGAGGTATTATGTACACTATTTACATTATTCGGAATATTGTACTCATCTTTGTCGCCATATTTATTACGACGTTTCGGCCGTTGTACGCTCCGGCCTTCATCAGGTGGTTGGAATGTTGAACTGAACCCTTTATTTCGCTCAGTGGGGTAGACTTTTCTAGTTCCACGTGACATGTTTAATGGATGTCAGTTATCAGTTATCTCCTGTTAATTCCCCTCTGAAAGTTCTGCACTGCCTTAATCGGGTACTGAACTCATACTCTTTAGGTCCTCTCACTGGATCTAACCAACGCGTCTCTCCTTGAGGACACTTGGCACAGTGGATAGAGACGTTGGTTAGAAAAACAAAAACAACAAAAAAAAAAAAACGCCATAGAATCCCCTCATTCCATAGACATTGCTTACCCATAATGCTCTACTCTTTGCAATAAAAACACTCTCCTGCATTTACTTTAAGGTTTATCTTAAGTCCCACTTATTTTCTTTAACCATTTCACCTTAAGAAAGGCGATGAAACCACTAAGACGCAAGGGGTTATTGAGGGTGAAACAGAGAAAACTTCATCGATGAGAAAGAACAATAAAAAGGATTCAAGGAGATAAAATATAACGATTGGCGACACGGGTTATTCTTACTATATACATTTAAAACACCGGTCCCTGTACGATCACCGAAGTTAAGCAACGTCAAGCCTGGTTAGTACCTAGATGAGTGACCGGAATAGCACGTGCTGTAAGCGTGTGCCTGCGTGTGGTGTAATGGATAATGGCTAGGAATTGTTAATAGGAGAGCGGAGTTCGAATTCCAGTTGGGTTCGTTATATACACTTACGCGCAAATGCCCTTGGGAAAGGCAGGAATCCGCCTCTCCCCTCCCCAGCTATGCGTTAATTAATGAACCGTGTAACCCCAAATCATCTAAAAAAAAAAAAAAAACAATCTTACAATCTAAAATTTTTACTGGCTTTAAATAACCGGCAACGGGTTGATAAGCCGTAAAAACCTTTGGATTTTGACTAGTACTCTGGTTGCTTAACTTTTGCGTAAAAATTAGTATGAAAATTGTATATATTTTTTATGTTTGGTTTTAATAAAATAGAAAAGTAAGGCATTTCAATGTAACTAAACTAGTAGAATTAGTAGAATACAGTAATAAATAACCTATTTAGTAACTCTTCTTGTTTAATTTTACGCTAGTAGAATTGGTAGAATTCTTAAATACGGTACAAAATAACATATTTTGTAACTCTTTTTATTTAATTTATGCTTTTCTCTTTTTTGCTTAAGCTACGTCATAGATTCTATTGGATTTAATTTAAGATTTAGTCAAATTTAACTACAATTGCTGATAAATGAGTTAATTATAAAAAAAGTCATGTAATGCTTCAAGTGTTTGGTTGTGATATCTGTAATATTTTCTGTACAAAGTTATCTCCCTTGCAGTAACGACGCTTAGATATACTTAAAGACTCTCCTGTAAAATTATCTGCTGGGATTATAACCACTTCTTTTGTTATATGAATTGTACATACAAAGAAGGCTATATAGATTAATATATATTAATTCTGTGGAATCAATCTTCAGAACAACTCTTGGAATATGAATTTTGAGGAACCGAATTTTTCGTCTTGAACACTGGAGGCAGCAAAAATATTTCTCACCTTCACGGTTCCTTATCCAAAACTTGAAAGGACCTTTACTCGATTCTGAAGAGATCCAATATCTAACCCTTTTGCGTCGGTTTGAATTTCGGGCCAAGAACATTTGTGAGTAGCTGAAATAATTAACGTTAAAATAAATACACAAAAGGTTTTCGAGAACTTCCCTAACTGTAGTATTTCTGAAATTAAATGTTTATTAAATGAAAACATTTCAAATAGAAAAAGACAAAACAGACGATCTGTGTAGCTTCACAGATTACATTTGATAAACAAAATGAATAAAGTAAACGAAACTAGAAAGGAAGGAAGAAAGAAAGAAAGAAAGAAAGAAAGAAAGAAAGAAAGAAAGGAGGGGGAAGGAAGAAAGAAAGAAAGAAAGAAAGGAAGGAAGAAAGAGAGAAATAAAGGAAGAAAGAAAGCAAGAAAAGAAGGAAGGAAGGAAGGAAGCAAGAAACAGTGTGGATACACTATAAAAGAAAGAAAAATAAAGGAATTAATAAAGAAAGGAAGTAAGAAAAAGAAAAAAGGCAAAATAGGAAAGAAAGGGTACATATATTGAATAAATAGTAGAGAAATATTAACAAAAAGAAAGAAGGAAAGAAAGAAAGGAAGGGGAAGGAAGAAAGAGAGAAAGAAAGGAAGAAACCAAGAAAGGAAGGAAGGAAGAAAGAGAGAAAGAAAGAAAGGAAGGAAGAAAAAGAGAAAGAAAGCAAGAAAGGAAGGAAGGAAGAAAGAGAGAAAGGAAAGAAGAAAGAGTGTGGGTACACTAAAAATAAAGGAAGTAATAAAGAAAGGAAGTAAGAAAAAGAAAACAGGCAAAAAAGAAACGAAAAAGGAAAGAAACGAAAATGAAAGAAAGAGTAGATATATTGAATAGTATTGAGTAGAGAAATATTAACAAAAGGAAAGAAGGAAAGAAAGAAAGAAAGAAAGAAAGAAAGAGTGGATATATCAAGGAAGAAAGAAAGGAGATTGAATAAATGGCATAGAAGCATCAAGAAAAAGAAAGAAGAAAAAGGTATGAAAGAAAGAAAAAGAAACAGTGAGGTATATTAAAAAAAGAAACAAAAAGAAAGCAAGAAAAAAATGAGAAAAGAAAGAAAAATTGAGATATTGCCTAAATAGTATAGAAATACCCACCCACAAAAAAGAAGGAAGGAAAGAAAATTAAAAAAGAAAGAAAGAGTAGGTATATTAGGAAAGAAAGTAAGAAAAAAGGAAGGAAGAAAGATACGAAAAAAGAAAGAATAGAGATATTGAATGAATAGAATAGAAATACCAAGGAAATGAAAGAAAAGAAAGAAATGAAAGAAATGAAAGAAAGAAAGAAAAGAAGAAAGAAATATCAAGTCCGTTCTTGTTTACAAAACGTAAATATATATATATATATATATATATATATATATATATATATATATATATATATATATATAGAAAGAAAGAAAGAAAGAAAGAAAGTCTCATATTGAGACACTGGCGACAATCACTTCTGTGGTGTCGGTTGATCAAATCCGTTCCTGTTTGCAAAGTGCAACGGTTGTATAAACATAATCCAGTTATTGAACAGAAACTGTACGTAAATATAGGAAAGGAAAGATATTTTCAGAACGAATATTATTATGACTTGTGTTTTTTTAAAACATGAAAACTGAGAATTAGGCTTGATTACTATTGAAAAATAACAATAATTAATGACATCAAAAGTTGCAATATTTTTAGATCAAAATATGACGTTCTTGCTTCAATTAACAATAAATAAATAAAAGGAAACAACAAAAGTGGTACGAAAAACAAAAGTGAAACCTGTTGGTGTGCTTTGAATGTGACAAGTGGTTTTTGTAAATGAATTTCATGCACACGCGTGAACGTTTGTCTTCTTCCGCCGCTGTCAGTGAAAAAACAAAATGGTGGAAGTTAGGAAAGAAAAAGATATTCACTAGATACGTCTCGTAATTCGATTAGTTGCGAATTCAATACCATCCAATATTGATTATATTTTCATTAATAGGCATTCACATTAGATACGATTCAAATGTAGTGAATGATAGGCAAAAAAAAAAAAAAAAAAAATGCGGGTGGAGGTTAGCGAATGCTCTTCAGAAACTGTTCTCCTCGTCAAACCTAAATTCGCTAGCGGCGTCGCGAACAGCCATTATTTTAAGAAAGCTTTGGTACAATGGTTTCAGTCTGCGGCACTTGTCAAATACTGACAGCGTTTTAAAAACAAAGTCCAGTTTGTTAGCGTTAATCTAAACACCACAAGCAAATACAAATAAAAATTATTAAAATCATATTTAAAAAAACAAAAATATTCATAAGTAAAACAACAAAAAACAACAAAAAAAGCAAAAACAAAACAAACAAAAAAAACGACTATTAATTATATAGCTTGTATTTCTCTTGCTTTTTATTATAACTTTCAAATCTTTTTCTTCTATATACCGTGTCCCTTCAGGACGTGGGTGATCATAGTTCTCCACAACTTCCTATTCTTTACACTATTTACATTATTCGGGCCGTGGTCCACATCTTTGTTGTTGTCCAATTCACGACGTTTCGGTCCAGTGGATAAAAGGGTTGATTGAAGTAATCCAGTGACTTGACCCAAAGAGTTGAAAGTTCAATACCTGGCCGCAGCAGAGGTGAACAAAAACTTGGAGAGTTGAGTTACTCAAAGGAAATAACTGGAATTGAGATATCCGGAAGAGGCGTGGTACGTGGAACTAGAACAATCTACCCCGGTGGACGAAATAAAGGATTCGGTTCGGAATTTCAATCACCTGAAGAAGGCCGAAACGTCGTGAATAAGGCAACAAAGACAAGAGCAACAGTCCGAACGATGTAAATAGGGTAAGTAGTTACAATACCTCATCTTTGGAATGTAGACAGATCCTGAAGAAGCCCGGAGCGTAAAAAGGTTGAAATGTCGTAAATATGGCAACAAAGATGAGGACAACAGTCCGGATAATGTAAATAGTGTAAATAGTTACAGTACCTCATCTCTGAAATGTAGACAGATCCTGAAGAAGCACGGAGCGTAAAAAGGTCGAAATGTCGTAAATATGGCAACAAAGATGAGGACAACAGTCCGATCAATGTAAATAGTTACAATACCTCATCTCTTAAATATAGACAGATCCTGACGAAGTCCGGAAGGTAAAAAGGTCGAAATGTCGTGAATATGGTAACAAAGACGAGGACAGCAGTCTGAACAATGTAAATAGTTACAATACTTCATCTCGGAAATATAGACAGAGCCTGACGAAGTTCGGAGCGTACAACGACCGAAACGTCGTGAATAAGGCAACAAAGATGAGGACAACAGCCCGAACAATGTAAATGATGTAAATAATTACAATATCTCGTCTCAGAAATCTAGACAAATATTTCTATTCTTTGTAGCTCTTAATAAGGCTAGTCTTCTCGCTAACCCTCTCAATCCCTGTTCTGTCATCCGTTTACACAAGTACGTTAGTTACTTTGTTCGCTGCTACCTCTTTCCGGCTTGCCTTCAATATGTCTTGTCAGTGTCAAATTCACCAAGCCGCCTTTCCTCATTATGCTCTTTCGTTTTATTAATTTTAATAGTAATAACTGTAATAGCGGAAGTATTTCTTAGATGAGGCATTGTCATTTATTATCAATCTTGTGGCTGGCATTTCTTTCATCTTAATTCTCTTGCGTTTTATTACTTGTAGAAGTATTTCTTAGGCTAAGTAAAGTATTATGAAAGAGGAAAATGTTTGTTAGAAACAAAGAAACGACTATTAGTCGTCTTTCAATCGTTAATATTTAGCAGTGAATGCCGAACAATTTCCTTACAGATGAAGTGTAGACGTGAACCAACATAGATGTTGTTCTGCGAAATTTTGAAGAAAAATAGAAAGAAAAAAGACACTTAGTAAGGTTAGACTCTTAGACAAACAGGAACTTAGGAAAGCGTTATAAAGTTAAAAACAAGTTTCTTAATTGATCCAGAGTTTAATGTGTTGAAATAAACTTCGTAAAATGCTAGAGTAAAGTAATTAAGATTTTGAATATTTATTTTATTAAAGTTCTTACAAAAATCAAGAGCCACTCAAGGTAGAGGATCACTGAATGAGGTGTGTGATATGAATATAAGAAGAGTTACAGGGAAGTGAAGATTATAAACATTTGTAATGGAGTGGGTGCGTCGATCGGGCGTCATTTGAATCTTCATTTTATTCACTTATTTATATCTTAACAACATTTTATCTACCTACATTATCTTTTATCTACCTACATTATGTTTTATCTACCTATATTATCTTTTATCTACATACATTATCTTTTATTTAACTACATTATCTTTTATCTACATATATTATCTTTTATCTACCTACATTATTTTTTATCTACCTACATCTATTTAAGATACAAATTATACTAAGCAAAACTGACTATAAAAAGATGAAAAAATTTCACTGATTTTGACCTCATTCTGGGATCTTCGTCCAAATGCATGAATTTATTTTGCGCATACTAAGTCTCGAAAAAACACTATTTGTTATTCATAATGTTGAACCTGTTAAATTATTCAACTTTTTAACAATAAAAACCTCAAGTTGATGTTAAAAATTGTCGCAAAACATTGTTGATTTATTTGAGATGGAATGATCTATTATGATATTTATTTAAGATGGAATGATCTATTATGACATGTCTCTAAATTGTATTTAGATACATTGTATTTTCAATTTTTCTACTTGAATTGTTCACTTATATTGCCGGGCTTATGTCAGAGGGTATCCCCAAGATGAGGCTCTGCCTAAGGGCATAGTCTCATCTCGGGAAACTGATTCCTTTTTAGGTGGTCTATAGGGAATTTTTGCCTGAGCCTGCAGGCTTAGATACACCACTTTAAACTCGGCCTTGTGCCACATCTTGTTGCTTGGGGCAGCGGGTAAATAATTATATTGTATATGATCCACTATTGCACATATTTAGATTGCAATAAAATTTTATTTTATATGAATACTACTTTATGAAAATTGAGATATTGGATATTGGAGGTAACATGTATAAAGCTAACATGATGACATTTTTAATTTAATTCGGAAACGGTTTCCCAGTTCTTTTTTCCTCGTTTTTATTTAGTCTTTTTGCGCTTTGTAGATATTGCATTTATTTTTACACATTAAGTATCTGTGGCAAGCCTGCGTAGATCAAGTCGATCGGTTCCAGTTTGACAACCGCCTCAAATAATGAATCTTCTGGTCTCAAGATCGTGTGAATAAATCATGGAACGGGAGAGTGATTTAGCAAATCGAGTAACACTACTAAGGGATAGAAGGTTGTGGAGAGCCATAATCGCCCACGTCATGAAAGGACATGACACATAAAAGAAGAAAACTGGATGCCACCCAAAGCCACCCTGCTAATTAACGCATAACTGGGGATGGGTAAAGATTGATTCATGCTTTTCCCGAGGACAATAGTGAAAGCAACAGACTAGGCTGGAACTTGAACTCTGTTTGCTGGTTTGGCTTTTCGTGGTGACTACCGTTAAGTTACGCGCTGTCAGTAAGTAACCATTAAGCTACATTGCTAAGAGATGAACAACTAAGTCCAATTTTGTGGCATTATTTTATCGACTATCGTGTAGTTTTAACGCCTTTTGCATGCACTTATATTTGATATGAAAAAGTAATTTTAAATAATTTAAGTAATTCTATTACATTTACTTGTTTTAAAAAGAAATATAATCTATTAGTAATTAAGAGTAAAAATATTTTAAAATTGTAGTTAAATAAAACGCTCCTAGAAAGAATCTTTAAGTATACAAGTACGAAAAAAATGCCGAAGAAATTTTTGCCGTTAATAAAAAAAACCCAGACGACATGCATTTAATGGATGTCAGAATTCGTTGAAAAATACACCCTACCCTCCCTAAACTTAACCTCTTTTTCGAATGTAATTCATAATTGATACAACAATAGCTAATAAAAATGAACACCCTACCGCCCCTGTCTGAATGATTGGATTTCTCTGTACCCTTGGAAACAGGAAATTATGAATTTATGTGTGCGTTTAAAACTCAGTAAATTTAAAAATAAGTTATTCCAATATTCGCTTGAAGATGAAACGGAACTAATGCTTTTAATTTAATTATATAATTAAATTTAAAGTTTTTAGCTTCAGCTTTTGAAACATGGTTATTACTGTGTAGCGAAAAACATTTTAAATCAGTTAAATTATAATATATATATATATATATATATATATATATATATATATATATATGCAGTGCCTTCCAAAAAGTTTAGTCCATTTTAAACTATTTTAAATGTCTTATAATTAACTTCTTATAAGTGGTTGGTTTTTTTATTGTGCAGTGTATAGATGAAAATTTGGCCATATTGGCGTCATTTTCAGCCCTTATTATCGTATTTTGTAAGCAACTGTGCTGAAGGAGAGCAGAAAATGTGACGCGTCTCTAAAAAAATGGCCGTGTAAATAATTTCGGTTACATATGACGACCACTTCAGATAATGAATCTTTTTGTCTCAAGTTTGTGTGAGTGAATTATGGAAAGCGGGGTGTGGCTTGGCAAATAGAGAAACACTACTAAGGGCCAAGAGAGATAGGAGGTTGTATGATCGTCCATGGCCTGAAGGAACAAGGCACAAAGAAGAAGAAGAAAAATGGATGCCGCCAAAAGCTACCCTGTTATTAAACGCAAGATATCTTTACTTCTTTAAACAGGAAAATAATGTTTGTGATGAAGATTTATTATATACTGTTGATTTCAAGAAATTAATACTTATTAAGTGTTCGGTGGAGTAATGGATAGTGGCTCGAATTGAGGAATCGGAGTTCCCGAGTTCGAATTCCAGTCGAATCCATTACATTCACTTACGTGCTAATACCCTTGGGAAAGATAAGAATCCTCTTCTTCTCCCCTCCCAAGCTATGGGTAAATAGCAGGACAGTTCTATAGCCTTGGATGGCAACTGGTCAACCGCAGAAAGAAATGGCAATCTACTGCGGGAAAAAAATCTGCCTCGTTAAAGATACATGATCACCTAAGCGTGTATCACGCATGGCACATAAATGACTGAATAGACATTGTTGATACGCTTATTTTTCGGTATCGTTTTGCATTTAGAACCCTTGCTAAAAATATGATAATTAGTTGTGAAAATAATTCCAATATGGTCAAATTTTAATGTGTAGACACCAGAATAAAAACATCAAATAAGATGGCAATTATTAGAAATTTAAAATAGTTTACAATGGCCTAAAACTTTTGCACGGTACTGTATATAAAGTAACAACAAAAAACGAATCATTTGTCTCAATTGGAAAACTATATAATCAAAATAACACTTAGATTAGGAAAATGACGAAATGAAAAACAAGATATAATTTCTTATTTTGGGAAATTAAGATTGTTAACACACCCTTCTTAGTAAGACGTCTATAATATTTGCAGCTGTTGTAAAGTGGAAAGATAAATAAAGCAAAACTTACGAGTTATTTACAAGTGGCAACTGTGCATTCAGCACTTGCCGGCAATAATTCCTTGCTTCTTCGTGATTCTTCAAGATGTTGATGTACTTGTAACATTTGGAGCCTGACATAATATAACCCTGACAACAGGTAATTACAACTACAAATCAGACAGTGTGCCAAGTGACGTGTTGCAAGCGGAATTAAACATTAAGCAAAGTGCATTTTTGTTGTGTACAACGGCGATCCAGGGACGAATATTCAACAAAACATGCTTGATTTTTACGGGAAGGGACAACTCAACGCCGCCGACTCAACACCGCCGACTGAAAATCGCCGAATGAGCACCGGCACAATTCAGGACTGAGACAACTCAGCACCGAGACAACTCAGCACCAGAAAAACATAACTTTTTATAACTGAATAAAAGTAATTTATTAAGGATTAAAACCTTAATTAATTAATATTTTTTAATTATTTTTAATAAAGTAAATCATAAAAAAACTATTTTTTTAATAAAATTTGCATATAAAAATAATTCAATAAAACACTTGTTTTTAATTCTTTTAATAAAGTAAATCGAAAATGTAAAACAAAATGAAGCAGTTTTTTAATTATTTTTAATGCCGATTTACTTTATTAAAAAATAAATTACATTACGATTTATTTAAAAAATAATTAAAAACAAAAATCTGCTTCATTTTTATTTGAATTTTTAATTTTATTTTATCAAAAATAATTAAAAACGTCTGTTTTATTGAATTATTTTTATATATCAATTTAATTTATTAAAAAATAAAATTCTTTACGATTTATCTTATCAGGAATAATTAAAATAAAAACAAAAACAAACTTTTTCATATATTAGATGCCTTTTCGAATTCCTTATTTGAAGAAAAATATTCACTAATTAAGGTTTTAATCCCTAATAAATTACTTTTTTTTCTGTTATAAAAAGAAGTTACATTTTTCTGGTGCTGAGTTGTCTCGGTGCTGAGTTGTCTTAGTGTTGAGTTGTCCCGGCACTCATTCAGCGGTGTTCAATCGACGGTATTGAGACGGCGGTGTTGAGTTGTCCTGCACCCTGATTTTTAGTGTCAGCAAACGTGATACTGAGGGCAGAAAGCAATGGTTTTCCAAAGTGTTCATACGATGAAACAATGTTATACTTGAATTATTACCGTATGTTATACTTGAATTATTACCGTATGTTATACTTGGATTATTATTTTTAACGGTCTTTACGTCAAACCCTATTTCATGTATACATCTTAAAACTACAATTCCATTCTATTATCACAGACAAATATGCACCATTTGGTGGCGGTTTTGATGAAAACAGTGCTTAACTTTGCAGATAGGGTCCAGTTCGAGTGACCATTATTATTAATATTGTTATTATTATTATTGTTCATCGAAAACAAGGCTCAAGAGTCGTTCAAAGTAGAAAGATACTGAATGAGTGTGTTATGTGTAATGTGAAAAAATTTAAATGTGTATATTATGAGGATATGTAGGATAGATAACGGTTGACCCTAGACTTGAAGAGGTTAAGATTGTAGTGATCGAGGAAGCATCCTGTTGGGAGTCTGTTCCACAAAGTGACAGTTTTGTGGAGGAAGCTTTCTGAGTGGAACTTCCTCCTTACAAATGGTATACAAAAGGAAAGAGGATGAATCGACTCTGAGTACTTGTCATGGTAGGTTCGAGATGTGATGGTCTTGACTCATGGAATTAAGGAATGTAGCTTGTCTGAACATTTACCATTGAAATAGCAACCAAGTTGTGAGAGGCTAGCAATGTTTCGCCTGTGAGAAAAGAGGTTGTAGGGTGGGAAATAATCTGACACAGTATGGTGTGAACAGTTTTGAACTCTCTAATGGCTAGAAAATGAGGATTGGGCTATTTATCATAACACTCTTGGTCGAAACACTCTTCATTAGAGAAGTAAAAGAAAGTTTTTTTGTTACTAGTAGTTTGACAAGAAAAGCCCCACACACACACAAACGCGCGCACACACACAAACACACACACACATGTATATATATATATATATATATATATATTTATTGACCGAACATTTAGCATCAATGTCGGTTGAAATTTCTAAAATCTCTCTCTTAAAACAGTTTTTCAGGATAATAAGTTTCTTATGTCCAGTAGCTGTTATCACTCTTTCCAGTAGCGATTGCGGTTTCCTCCATAACCTTTTTTTAGTGTGGAAAGTCAACCTCTTCATTGTGGCATTATTTTCCCTTTGAGTTACATGTGCTCTCCATTCGTTAAGACGAATCGAGTTCTCCGGTCACTGGCGTGTTTGTCTAAAAATAAATACGTCTAAATTCACCTTCAATGGCTTAGGGGTAGAATCTCCGACTGATACCAGATCAGTTGGGTTTCGATCCCGGCTTGAGGCAATCGGATGTCTAGCCACACTGATGAGCTGTGAAACAGTGAAACAGTCTGTCTGTGGATGACAATATATATATATATACATGCTCGTGATAAAATTATTTCGATTGAGCTCATTGGGGAGAAAAGTGAATTTGTAAACAGTGCTGATGCAAGACTCTTCTTTAAAACGAATAGAGTTTTCCGGTCACTGGCGCGTTTGTCTAAAAATATATACTTCGAAATTCACATCTATGCCTATCGTGTGCCGCTGGTTTAGGTATAAAATCGCCGTCTGATACCAAATCAGTTAGGTTTCGATCCCGGCTTGAGGCAGTCGTATGTCTAACTACACTGATGAGTCGCGAAATTGTCTGTCTGTGGATGACTATATATATATATATATATATATATATATATATATATATATATATATGGTAGGAAATGGATTAAATCCGTCATATTTTTAATTTATCGGTTTAAACGTCATTTTTAGTGGATATTCATATTTGAGTAGATGCTTTGTTTTCATTATTGAACATTATTTTTATTTATTTACATCTACCGGCCTGAATATTTGAGAAATCTTGTCAGAGGGCGCATATTTTTCTAATAAGATTTCTCGACTATTCAGGCTGGTAGATGTAAATAAATATACTTTTTAATAATGAAAACAGACAATTTTCTCAAATATGGGTATCCATTAAAAATAACGTTTAAACAGATATAAAGGTGAACATTGAAGTCAACACTCAGAGGCGATATGCTGTTTCAGGCCGCCTGACGATTGTGTCTATCATAGAACAGCCTGTTGCCTCTGAGTGTTAATTTCAATGTTCACTTTTATATTTATATTTTCATACGCTCTATCTTTGATATTGAGCACTTTATCCCATAATTATATCACACTTTAAAACTATATTTCTGCATATATATATATATATATATATATATATATATATATATATATATATAATTATTTATTTAAAAAAAATTTATAACATAAATATGTTATAAAATCACTACAAAAATAGCCATTTTGTTTCAACACCCTCGGTGTCTTATCAAGTGATGATGTTGAATGTAAAAAAAAAAATCATTTATTTTTTATATTGAGCACTGTCTTTTAATCTTTCACTTCGTGTGCACCATATTATATTTTATATCTATCTATCTATTTCAGTATCTGTTCATTTATGGAGAGAGAGAGAGAGAGAGAGAGAGAGAGAGAGAGAGAGAGAGAGAACATAAAACTCAACGCACACATACGTATGTGCATGTGTGATGTATTTCAGCAGAGTGTAACTGTGTCAATCAATCGTGTCACGTTAGGAGGCATTGCTTTCGACCCTCAAATAACAAATATAAACGAATAGACATTTAATCAAAGGATAGAGAATTACGGTTCGAATTATCTTTTTAATAATAGTAAATAGTTTAATAGTAAATTATAGGACAGACTGCGTTCTCTAGCCTTGACTGGCAGCCAGTCTAGGAGAAGGACAACTAAAAAAAACCAGGAATGGAACTCCTAAGGACGATTGGATATCAACTTTGATTTCTTTTCACCTGTTCCGATAGCCAAACTGATGCAAATACCGATCGGTTCCCAAAATGCACAGCTGACAGGTCCCGTGTGAAGTTTTGGCAAGTCGGAAATTACTTATCTTTTTTTCAGCGTTCTCTCCCTTCAAGCGATAGATGTTCTCCACGTCTTCCTTTTTTAATATTTGTGAATTGTGTATTGCAATTCTATTCAAAAAATGAATACAAACTGCTTCGGCTAGAATTTGAACTTGGCACGCCGATATAATTTATCGATCTTCCATCCGTTCTTTCAATGCAAAATTGCCAGAATAAATGACAAAAAGCAAATCTCACCACACTTTAGTGTACAAATGGATGGAAAAAGAATATCTTGGATGAAATGTAGGCAATAATTCATAGAAGCGCAAATATAATGAACGAAAAATAAATTCGATTCGAATTTCTCTCCTTTGATTTTACACATTGCACAAATGTTTACAAATCAATTGAAAAGTGTGAGATAAATTGCATAAAAGGTACATTATTAACATGCATTAAGCAATTATTTGGGGTTTATATTTTTTAAAAGTGCTGCTAGAACAAGCGTTTCTATTAGCATTCCATTGCTGTAATAAACAGTGAATTGCAGATATATTTTTTATTATAGGATGAAGCATTTTCAACCATTATTAATTTTCGAGTAGTATTTACTTTCATCTTTATTTTTCATTAGATGAAGCATTTTCAACCATTATTATTAATTTTCGACTAGTATTTACTTCCATCTTTATTTTTCATTAGATGAAACATTTTCAACAATTATTATTAAATTTCAAGCAGTATTTACTTTCATTTTAACTGAAGGGCAAAAGTGACGTGAATACGAATCTCGCCATCTACTTCCTGCCGTAGACTGACGGCCGAAATGAATTTGCAACAAAAAGAAAGTAAAAATTATGATGAAAATCAATGCAAGTAAAAAATTAATAATAATGATAATAATAATAAGTTATTTGTTTTTCTCGACTGCATGTTGAATAAGACGATTTTAGCGTACCTTTAAGTTTTATATCCATAATTATGCGATTTTATATATATATATATATATATATATATATATATATATATATGAATTACGTAAAAATGAAACTCTCTCGTATCCCATTTATATGGCCATTTCGCTCCTCGCGAGATTTCTTTATTAGAGAAATTCCCTGGCGCT